GATCCTCTTCATCAGCACTAGTCCAATCACTCCAGTTTATTAAACCCTCACATATACCCAGTCTCTGGCCGAGGTCTTCATTATATGTGGTGTGTTCTACCAGCCTGAAACCTACTTAAATCCCTTGAAGATTTCTGAAGCTGAGTCCTTATCAGTCATATTGACCCATGAAACATGATCTTGGTCTTATGGTATCTTCCTAGGGGATACAATCAGGTCACTTTGTCAGAAAGTCCTAAGAAGATTGACTTTCTTCAGCTTCAAGGTCCATTCCTGTTTCCTCTCTCCTCCCTTGTGATGGACTCAGAAACACTCAGGTCAATCCCATCTACCATAGAGTGCCCCATGTGTACCAAGAACTCCTCCTGGGCTGCTCTGGCCAAAGTCCACAGCCAACAAGACAGCTGAAACAACTTCCAGATATTCAGAGACCACTGAGCACAGCCACACTGAACCACTTGCTACTCATTAAGACCTGGGGTTGTGCTAATTTTATGATTTGGGGTGATATAAGACAGAAGGAGGGGATTGAGGAAAAAGGCAGATGGAGAAAGGTGACCCCACACCGGGTTCCATCCCAGTGATAACTGTAGAGCTGTTTTTCCAGAAAAGCATCTAGTTCTTTGATTAATATGTTCAGATCATAGTACCCCCCTCGCTGGGCTGTGTGGGGTCCTTAACAGGGTGATTATTAAGGGGCTTGGAATAATGTCTGGAACATGGTGAGCACTGGGTAAATATCTGCTGCTAATGTTCCTATTACTATTTGTGGCATTTAAGTAAAAGTATTCTAGCTTGAACACCTACCCTACCATTTACTTACTGGACAGCACTTTGGAATAGTTACTAGATTTCTGTGTTTTATTCGTAAATTGAAAATAATGACTCCACTTATTCTCCCAACCCCTTTCACCTGCCACTATTCTGAATTTTCTTATGTTACGGAAGATGAGATAGTTTTATTTAAAAGAAGTATTTTAGGGTGTGGGAGGTAGCTCAGTTGATAAACTTGTTGTACAAGGATGAAGACCTAAATTCAATCCATAGCACCCAGGTGAAAAGTCAGGTGTGATGCCATTCGCTTTCAACCCCAGATAGAGATGGAGATGTGGAGACAGGATCTCTGAAGCATGGTGGCCAGTCAGCCCAGCCTAATCAGTGAGTCACAGGTCAAAGTGAGAGACCCTCTGTCAAAAACACAAGGTGGGCTAAGAAACGATGCCCAAGGTTGATGTTGGCCTCCATACACACCTACACACACAAACACAAAAACACCCACACATACACTCACAACAGACTTTTATGTTATTAATTGTTCTGTTTACCCGACTCTAGCTGGGATGGTTAGAAGTCAGCTGAGGGACAAATCAGCACATGTGAATGACTATGGACTTTAGTGAGTGTTCCATCTGAGTAAACTTAATGCAGACACAAAGCCTAATCTATACAATTTTGGAACTTTTATTCCATTCCATAGAAGAGGTTTTCAGTCTCAGTTTTTCTGAAGCACTTGTTATTTTGGTCTTCAGATAAAGTAGGCTAACGAATTAAAGGTATACTTTGAAATTAAAATTGGAATATTTTGATTATCCCTAAGGATCCAGGATCTAATTTCAGCTGGATACAAGAAGTTAGATTAGTTAATTAAGCTCAGCTATTTTGAGACAGTGAGTAGATTTGATTCTGTCTAAATCAGGTGACTAGGGACTCAGTCATCATCCACTCACATTGAAAAGAACATCTAAGTTGATGTTTGCATCTTTCTAAAGACAAGAGGAACGTGTGTCCTCAAAATAATTAGAACGTAGCAAATCAGATTTTTGAGAAAAGTTTTAAGGAAATGAATCCTGTCATATCATCATTGTAAAAGTGCAGTGTTGCCTCCTCACTGCAAGCCCAGAGTCACTACTCCACAAGCACAGGAAAAACTACTATTTCAGCACGAACAGAGCAGCCTAGCTCTTACCTATTGTCGGTCAAAGCCATGTTCAGTCCTATTGAAAGAAATCGCTCTTCGGCCTTCTGAAGTTATTATTCTGTTCCCAGCTTTGTTTCCTTCCGTGCTTGGCTAACTGCATAATTATAACAGCAATCTTTGGCACCACCAGCCATATTTGGGGTCTGTAACTCTTTAAATCATAGTCACTGGGATGTGAAAGTCAATCTCTGATACTTGCATGTGCAGTTCATTAGCAATAGGGTAAATCTGAAGCCAGGATGGGTATCAGCACCTCTGCTGGCTTTCAAAATGAGTGCTTTGCCAAATCTGATCCAGGGGAAACTTCGTGGAATTCAACCTCATGGTTTGCTTCCCAGTTCATTAAGTGAACAGAAATCATATCACAGACACTCTGATGATTGATTCCTGGAGGGGTTTTTTCCTCTATATTCATACTAATGGTTCTACTTAATTCTACATTGTCAAAGGATATGTATTGACTTATCTGAAGTGATCTGGATCCAGTAAGTCAGGAGTCCTAATTGTAAATCAGACAAATGTGATTTGGATGCTGATAAATTTTAACAATGAAATCCAAACAGTGGACACTGGTTCAGTCGCTGCTGTGTGGAAGATGGTAGAGTGCTGTGAGAGACCTGGCCTGTGTGTGAATGGGGTCACCTGAATTTGCATTTGCCCTTTGAATCTGATCTCCAGCACTCACTTGGAAAGTCAAGCATGACAGTATATGCTTGAAAATTCTAGCTAGATTTTTTGAGGACAAGAACAGCAGAAAATGAACTCTACGCTCATCAGAATGACCCAGGTGCCACAAAGGGACTGTGTGCTAGATAGAGTTGAAGAAGATAAATACTCCCTTCTCCCACTGAAGTGTCATCGGACCACCTACCTCTGCAGAAGGGACGGCAGTATTGATATGTGTGGTTGGCTTGCTAAGTATACAGGTCCCGCCATTGGAAAGGCAGGGGTGGAGGAGTCAGATGGAACTGGATTCAAGCTCTAGCCTGTGGTTCTTAGACCTTACCCAACCCCAGCCTCAGTTTCCCTGTGTGTGAAGTGAATGAATCTCATGGAATGCTCAGCTCCAGTCTCTCCAGAGGTCCCACACCCTTAAACAAGGGTCCCTGAGGCAGGAAGAGCCTGTGGTGCTTTGTTCTCATCAGAGGCCTTTCCTTGCTGTGAACAGAAGAGGGCTTCTTGGTTCCTATATCACAAGCAGTGGTTTGGGACAGGAGGAAGGGCCGGCTGGATGGCTGAGGTCTAAAGCTTTGTAAGACTGTGCTTCTCAGTGACCAAACACCTATGGCTTTTTGTCTTTCCCACCAATTCATTGCAGGTTGTTTAAAAGTGCACAGTAATATAACTCTATTTTCTCATTACTAGTTATACTTACCAATTGATATTAAACCTTCGTAACTGGAACTGACCTGGAAACCACCTCCCCTGAAGGCCAGCTCTAGTAGCTTTAGAGAGCACTGTGCAAGCTGGTGAAGGAGAACATCAATCAATGGTCCAGCCCCAGCTTCAAGGCCTAAAAAACCCACATGAGTGACCAGCACAGCAAATGACATTGGTGCAGTAGTGGCACTTTTATCTTAGGGGTAATCAACAGCTACCCAATTGGACTTAAAGCCCACTTGGTGGGAGGAAACTCATGTTTCTACCCATGTACTGTAAACCTGGCCAATTACACATAACTGAAGAGGTGGGTCATAGATCTTAGAGACTCATATGTACCTACAGCAATGGTGTCAGCATGCACAAGCAGACAAAACCCCATGCAAACTCAAGCAGACAAAAACCCAGCACAGAACTCTGGAAATAGACAACAAGCCCCAGTCTTCGTCAAAGAGTTATTGGCAGCCGATTACTGCTGGGTGAGGAAGAGCTGATCTTAAAGGGAGGGACTCTAGATAGGCTGCCTAGACCCCAGTGGATGAACTTGCACTGAGGGATGTCCAGGGACACTAACTTGACATGATAGACCTTAAGACAAATGACAGAATGTATGAATTCAAGTGGGAGGGATATGGGAGGGGGCCAATGGGGAAGGGGTATAAAGATGATTAAGATGTTCTGAATGAAATACACAAAAATTCAATTAAATTTTTTTTAAAAAAAACTTAAACTTTACCTCTTTCACTGGCAAACAAACCCTCCCAAGTTTTGCTGTTCACCTTGGCCTTGTGCTGTCAGACACCATGCTCACAGAGGTTGCCTAGTTCCCTCTTCTTTGCTGAGAATGTCCTTCTGCACAGAGCTGGTGGCTTCTTCCTCCTTCTGCCTTGGAAGGTCCTCTTTCTCATCTTGCTCTGTTGAGGCTGTAAGGTCCTCTGATCACACTGCTCTGTCATGTAAATAACCCTTCCCTTATGATCCTCAGGACGTCCTTCATGTCCACACAGTTTGTCTGCTCCCGGCCCATGAAACTTGGTGCCTTTTTTCTTTTCTAAAACAGGTGCTCCCTGGGTCGAAGGGAAGATGGCTTAGTCAGTAAAGTGCTTGCCAGGTGGTCATGAATACCAGACTCCAACAGGACGATGTTGGGTGTGGTGGTAGGTGTTTGTAATCCCAACCTTAGGGGGGGAAGACAGATGGATCCCTGCCCCGCCCCCCGACCTTTTGAAACTCAGTCACCTGAAACTCACCAAGTACCCTAGACTTGCTGGCCAGCAAGCCCAGTGATCCTCCTGCCTCTACTTCCCAAGTGTTAGGATTGCAAAATCTCACACCACACCCAGCATTTTTTGTGGATTCTGGAGATCAAACTCAGGTCTTCTTGCCTGTAAGGCAAGCACTTTACTGACTAAGCCATCTCCCCTGCCTGTGATAAATAATGTTTCCTTTGCCATGACAGATACCTTAATTTCTCTGAACCCATGTCCTAATGTAACACTAACACATGAAGGTTCAGCTCCATAGCCCATGAAGTCTCTTCACTCAGAAGTTCTTTGATTACTTTTTGAAACTGCTTCATATAACTTTCTGTAACCTGTTGACCATGCCCTGTTTATTAACCCACTTTTTTGTCCTCCTCCAGTGCCTGCATTCTAACTAGTGGCCAAGCAAATGACATTCAGAACTTCAAGTAAGGTACAGTAAGGTAAGACTTTCTTTCTGCTTGAGTCTTTGTTTTAAAAAAGGATTGATGACTTGATTTTAAGAACCGATCGATGAGGAACATAAATAAGTTGGTGTTTTGGACAACTTAGAATTTCTGTTGTGTGTATTGTCAATGACTGTGGCATCATACATACATGACATATACTCTGTTCACATTCATTCCCAAACTGTGTGCATCTCAATATGATTACAGCCATGCTCAGTGTATCTTGAGGTAAATAGCGTGTGTCATGTGCTCATGATATTCAAATCATAAATTATAATAAAGACACACTTATTGAAATTTGAAATAAGCTGACTTTATTTTAAATGCATTTTATACCCTAACAGCCTCAATGTGGGATTTTTTAAAAAATAATATAGGATGTTTGAATTATCAGTATGTGTATTAGATTGGATAAGCAGGTCATAGGTCACTGCATGCACATATTCTGAATAGTTTCTGGGAAGGTGATATGCTTGCACAAAAAGGAACTGCAGCTTTATGAGAAAGCACGTTTAGTAGATTGTGGTAACATTTTCCATCCATCCAGAAAATACTGTTAATATCCTACCCCAAAGCCATTCTTCCTTCAAGGCAAAACCTTGATGTTGGAAAGGACAGCACAGTGCTCTGTCTAAAAGTCTCCATCTTGCTGGTCATGGTGGTTCATGCCGATGATTCTAGCACTCAGGAGGCCAAGCCAGGAGGACTGCCATTAACACAAAACAGCTTGGTCTACATAGTGAGTCTCGGACCAGTCTGGGATACAGCATGAGCTCCTGTCCCAGAAAAAATGTATCCCACCCCCACTTTATACCTTTATGTTAGCCTTGTGACCCAAGTCTAGCCAAAGAGCTCTGAGTGATAGCCCCGAGGACAGTTTCTCTTCAGAAATAATTTGTTTGGGGGCTGTTTCCTTTGTCTGTCTTCTATGGTCCTGACTGGAAAGCATAGTTCATCTGCAGTCCTAAAGATAAACACAGCAGCCATGGAGACAGGGAGATAAAGTGAGAATGTGCTTCTGCCAGTCTGGGGTCAAATTACACACACATACACATACACACACACACACACACACACACACACACACTCTCTCTCTCTCACACATATACAAACAAATACATATACATACATAAACATGCACATACATGTACATACACATTTACATGAATAAACACGTATACATACACACACACAAACATATACACACACACATTCGTGTACACACACTCACATACACAAACACATGCACACACATACAAACATGTACACACACATTCAGACATGTATACACATACACACACAAATGTGCACACATACACACACATACAAACATACGCACATTCATACACATATACACATATATGCACACATTCACACACTCACATACAAACATACACACTCACATACACAAATATGTGCACACACATACACCTACAAACATGTATGCACACACATATGCACATACACACATACACAAACATGCACACACATACATACATACATCTACAAATATGTCTGCACATATACACAGGCATATACACACACACACAGATACACACACACACCAACTTGCTCCAGTTGTTGGCTCTCTGACACTCAGATACAAGCAAGGGCCAAGCCAACCAACGGCTTTACACTGGAGCCTCATGCTCAACCGGTCTTGGCGTGATCTTCAGAGCACTACTGTAGGTCGAGCACGTCTTTCATCTGCATTTTGAGGATGAGGAAAGAGCACTGAGGTGTTAATACCATTGTCCAGCTGTGGCAAACATGAGGCCAGTGCCTCAGAGCTATCATGAGGCCAGTGCTTCAGAGCCGATCTTGACAGATGGGTTCAGGAGTTTGTGGTATTGCTGGTTAAGTTTCACAGCCACCAGCAGGCATGGTCAGTTCAAAAGTCTGTTGTGAATTCGTCAATAACATAAGATCTATTTGATTAGCTCATTTATAAAAATTAAGTGAACTGAGTCTATTCCATTTCGGAAAAAGAAGTGAATAAAAACCTCTGGTCTGGGAAACTGGGTTACATTGTAACTATGAATGCAAGTGAATGAAGCATTAATTCCTCGCACATTCTTTGTATTTTGTTATTTTGAAATAAAAGTTTAGAAGGTATCCATGTTTGTCACCAAAATTCATATTTTAACTGACAATCTTGATATCAAATAGCCTCTTTAAATAAAATCATTATTTTAGTCATTCCGATTTGGTTCCAGAAAAGAAAATACAGACAAAAGATACATTACATAATAAAATCCTTTCCCCACAAAAAGTCATGCCAGGCATTGAGCAAGGCTCTGAGCTGAGTCCAGGGAGGAGGCTGGATGATGGGGACCCTCTGAGTTGGAAGGAAGAGGATGAGGAAGTGTAGGTACAGCTCACGCTCTCTAGGATTTCACTTTCCTAGGCCTTTGCTATTTGTTGGTAAATTGAGAGTATGAAGATATTCTTATAGGCTTGTGACACAGAATAGTCCCTCACTCCTTGGGTGTCCTTTGAAAACATAGGGATGCTCTGTGTTTATGAAAACGCAGACATGCTCCGGTGTTTATGAAAGCCCAGGTGTCTGTTTTAGCCACGGAGCCTTGTGGTTCTCACCTCTTTTTTTCCTTTCATTTTCTTCCAAACACACCCTGAATTCCTGATTTTTTTTGCCATAACCCTCCTTACTCTAACACATGCCCCTGCCTCACACAGACAGGGCATCAGCTTCCTGATGGTCACCTGATGTCCATTCAGTCCACAGAGAAACACGTTCAGCGCCCAAGCACAGCTCACCCTGGGAAGCTTGATCTGGCCTTCACATCTGTTTGAGATGTGTTTGGACCTGCTTTCCTTTCCTCTACATCAACAAGAAGCCCAGAGGCCTTCCGACTTCACGCACCTGATGGGATCCAGTTCCCAGCTGAACCTTTACCCTGTTGCTTCTTGTTCATTTCTTTGAATGTTTTTCATTATTCCTTCCCTTCATTCACTTCTCCCTAGATTTTCCCTAATATCCCTCTCTGTCTCTCTCTGTCTCTGTCTCTCTCTGTCTCTGTCTGTCTCTCTGTCTCTCTTTCTGTCTCTGTCTCTCTCTCTCTCTCTCTCTCTCTCTCTCTCTCTCTCTCTCTCTCTCTCTCCTGCCCTGC